CTATTAGTTTTGATAAAGAAATCCGTTGCTCAGTTGATCTTTTCTATTGAATTTTATCAACTGTTTTCAAATTTAAAATTGTAGTATACATTTTAATAATTGCAACTATAATTCCATGTTTTACAACTGATAAAAAAAAGTGTCGACGAAACAAGAATCAAGTTTAATTGATTAAAAACATGTTGTCGATGAATCAAGGTAAAAAAAGTGTCGACGAAACGAGCAAAAAATTAGTGTCGACGAAACAAGAATGGATCATAAGAAATTGCAATTTTTTTAATATTTTCTCGTCGTTTCAATTATCCCTGCTGCTGCATATTGTTTCAGCAATGTTGACGTCTGGATTTTCCATGTGGTTCTTCATCTAAATCATCCACCGATTCGGGTCCGGCTAAAGAATTATGTTGGACGTGAAGTGGTCGTTCAGTTTCACCAAAATCAATTGAACATTTGATGTACAGGATTGCGAGAAATGTTTTGCCGGGGGTATAGCTCCAATGACAAATGATATCAATATTGAATTTTATACCAAATGAAAGCTCATCGAAAATGGGATTGAAGGGTTTAATTGATATTTCGTATGATGATTATTGACTGTAGAATTATGAAAGTTTCTATCGCACGTGTCAATTCCAGTATAGTGGTGCTTTCCGTAAAAGTTCCACGAACATTTGGACATTTGGCATTAACTTTTCCCCACATTTTTCTTCTATGTCATTCTTCTCTTTACTTTACCAATACAAAATTCATGTGTATTTTTTTTGACTCCTTCACGTAGTTGTTCACTGTCGTTACCTTCTAACTGTGCCACAGTGTTTGACTACAGTTATTCCTCGTCCGAAACTGATTCCTCCTTAGGTCCCATCTTTTCAACTACCTCTCCAACATATCCACACCTCTCAGCTGTTTTCTCTCACTGACTTTGTGAACTATCTGTTCATTCAAAACTAACCCGGATCAGGTTAGTTTTGCAAATGTCGATCGTGTGTTTCAAAACTGTTGCCGTCTGCCACCACTGTTCGTCAAACAGACGTTTGTTCGTGTTAAACAAGCTTTAACCCAAAAAGTTTTTTTCCAAGTATTAATCATCTACTGGCAATGGTAATTACAACAGGCAGATTTAAGTGTCACATTGAGAAACGCTAATGTTTATTGTGTTTAAGTCTGCGCCGAAACTCCTGCTATCGGTTTTGGTCTCCGTCTAAGAGCTTTTGGCTCGCTTTCCCACGTCACTTAGACATGACAAAAATAAAAACTAGCTAGACTTACGCTTTGTTAGGTTTTGTTGCTCCTTCATGGACATGTGCATCTGACATATACAAATAACTACTAGCTTCTGCTTAGTTCCAAAAGTCGTTGAAAAAATGTTCACCAGGCCGGATGTTTTGGGTAGAAAATTCTCATTAATAGTCCTTTCTTGAAATTGCACGTGGAATTGTTGAGTTTTATTCTCTTTCTTTAATCCGGAGAAATCTATGTTTACGTATATCGTCAACAACCAATGATGCTTTCTCTCTAAACACTCAAACTCCATCCATATAGAGTTATTCATCCAGTTCTACCTTACCTTTATCGATGGTCCGTGACTACTGCTTTCAATAGATGCATGAACGTTGATGAAATATAATAGTTTTCAATCGATTATTCATAGCTACGGTATGTGTAAGAAGTATTCAGGGCCTGTAACGAACGATTTTCAATGTGCTCATTATGTCTTAAAACAAAGGAAATAAGACAAATTGCGGATTTTCACAGCAGCCATTATTATACAGTTTCTATTTCAAAAACAAATTTATTTATTCCCCGACGCTTCGGTCTCATCAAGAAGCCACTATCAGGGACATTTACGAGTGAAATTATTCTTTATACTACTAGTTGTCAACCGTACATATACTAACACTGAACAAAAGTTGAAGTGCAAGAAAGAACGTTCTGAATGAACGTATATGACGAGAAGAAAATTAGCGTTCGTTTTTTTTCTTCTAAATGATACCTTGAAAGCTACTACTGAAGGACTAGTGAAGATCTTCAGATGAAAGCTCAGCATCAAAACAAGTTCCTGAACTGTAGAAGAAGCATCGCTTTTAAAATTTGGTGCAATCTAATTGAGAAATGAAGATGCTATAAGGGTTTATTCCAGTATGGTCACAGTGCAGAAATTGTCTTTATCGAAAAATTCGTGTTCTGCAGTTTGCATAACCCGGACCACAAAACAAACTTTGTTATACTAATAAGCGTGTGCGATAACTTATGAGTGAATCCATGGGTATCCAACCACTTTTTTGGAAAAAGTCTTTTTATCGACTTTTTTCGTTCTAGTTAGCTGGGGTACACCTAGGTAAAAGAGTAAAAAGAATTGACTTGTCTAGAATCGGGTTGAACCCAATGCCACATAATGCAAATCTCAATGCCTTGAGAAGCCAGAAAATAGGCAAGTAAAGTAATGCTTTTGTTGATGCATCTCTCTATTTCTGCAAGACAATTGGCTGACGCATCGGTCGATCCCAGAGTCGATGCCTAATGCATATGTCATGCTTTAGCAGATACAATGAGCGGTGTACTAATGGATGTATCTAAATAGACATCTGGCAAGTCATCCGTCGACATATATATATTTTTACTCTCCTTCTCTCTTTCACTGTGTTATGAACGTGGAAATCCATGTTCAACGTTTTATTCTCTCTTTTTTTAAACATCAAAAGTTGGATTAAAAGTTTCCCACTTTGTTCATTTATCATTGAAATCCATCTGAGACATCGGTTTACTTTCTCTAACTCTGCAATAAGAATGGAACAGTAATTGCCTACCACGGAAGATTCGATAAAAACACGACTTTAAGGCCCACCCCCACTTAAAATAAGGTTATTTTGGTGAAATTTATCGATTTTTTTAAAACAGCGTATTTGATAGAGCATCATGTCCGCTATCGAATGCACTATAGTTTCTTAATTTTACGATAGGTTTTAAGGGTTTCACACAGATTTTTCAGAAAACCTCTACCGGAAAAGACGACATTTTTTCGTTATTTTGCGTTTTTCTCAAAATGAGATTTTTTGGTTTTACGTTTTCGTGCGTTCCAAATTTCTCCGCCATTTTCAGTATGAAAGGTATGAAAGCGATGAAAAGTATGAAAACGATGAAAGCGGGTGGCCCGGATAAACAGTATGAAAGCGATTGAAGCGATGAAAGCGGATGACCCGGATGAAAGCGATGAATGGTATGAAAGCGATGAAACAGATGAAAACTATGAAAAGTATGACAGCGATGAAACGGATGAAAGAGATGAATGGTATGAAAGCGAAGAAACGGATGAAAGCGATGAATGGTATGAAAGCGATGAAACGGATGAAAACTATGAAAAGTATGACAGCGATGGAACGGATGAAAGAGATGAAAAGTATAAAAGCGATGAGAAGTACAAAAGGCAGAAAACTGAGAGAGCGATGAAAATTATGAAAATTATGAAAGCGATGAAACGTATGAGAGCGATGAAAAGTATGTAAAGTTGACTAGTATGAAAAGTGGGAAGGCTGTGAAATGGATGAAAAGTATGAAAAGTTTGAAAAGTATGAAAAATAGAAAAAAGAGTAGAAAAGTAGAAGGAAAACTAGGAAAAAGACTGCCGGCGCATCTTCGTAGAGAAAAGTACTTTACACATTTTTTGTGTATTCAAACAGCTCTCCATCTGAGACATCGGTTTACTTTTTCTAACTCTGCAATAAGAATGGAACAGTAATTGCCTACCACGGAAGATTCGATAAAAACACGACTTTAAGGCTCAGCCCCCACTCAAAATAAGGTTATTTTGGTGAAATTTATCGATTTTTTTTAAAATAGCGAATAGAAATGCGAAGAGAATGTCTTCTAAAAGTGTTTTTAGTGGAAAATAAAACTATTATCCGTTCTAAAAATTATTTTGTAAGCCAAGAATGTTTTGAGAAATTATGTTCATGTGTGTGTCAGAAAAAA